ACTCGCATCTACTCGCGTTTCGCTTGACACTGTACCAACAGAGTCAAAACAGGTAGATCGTATTCGCTAAATTATATAATGCAATATAACTTTGTTGGAATCTGCTGAGTAATCTGTTCTCTGTTAAATTAATTTTAGACTATCATTGTTAATTATCATTATGAATTATCTGTTATCACTGAAACAATCAAGTTTATTTTACGATTATTGTTTCTGGTGGGTAAAATTATTTAAAATGGTGACGAGTATATTCATTATTAGCAACTTGCCGTCACTATGTGTCACTGCTAGGAATTACAAATTATGAATCTGAAAAATTTTGGCTTAATTTTTGAATATTTTTAATCACAATTTACAGTTTGAGCACTTTTGAAATGAATTTTAAAAATTTTAATATGACGAGATTAATTACTAATAATTTAATGAAAACTGTCACCGACACAAACTAATCAATTAACTATTCAAAACTTATCCAAAAATTGAACATAAAAATTTACTAATGCCAAAAAAATATATAAAATCAAGAAAGGGTGCAATTTTATGTCTAGATCTTTTTACTAATTTTATCTAGCACGAAATTTGAAATATAAAAAAAATATAAATGCTTGAAAAGACAAAAATTCTGGTCATGGCCTTCCAATGTCCCTAAATTCAACAAACAATCCCATTTTACCATATAAATACACCGAAGACAAAATTTTCCTGATTCTGTTAATTAATTATCTAAATTATTATAAAGAATTTTTATCTAACATAAATTTTAATTAATAAAATCTGAATTATAAAGTAAAAGAAAAAATAATACAATATTGAGTAAATTATTTAAATTTAATTCAATAATTAATTGGTGGATGAAATTTAATTAAACAAAAATTTTCTACCATGAAAAACTTTAAATTTCACGAATAAAAACGATGAGTAAGCTTGAAACTTGCTAAAGCTCGAAGTGCATGCAATTGCAAGGCATCTGATGTGCCCGGAATTTTAGATAAATTAATATTAGTATCAAAGCAACGAGGAAAAATTATTTGTCTAATAGCTTCATCCGCGGTTCTACCTTTTTTATCTAAAATATTAAAATACAAGGTTTCTAAACCTTTCAACCCCTTACCACTTACAATATTACAAAAAAGTAATATAAACAAATAAAATATACTATTAATTACATGTTCCGATTTCTGCTTAAATAACTTTTGAAAAATTGATTTCAGAAAAAAATTTATTAATAACAAATTGTAGAAAATTTAATTATTAATAACATTGCTTTCTTTAACAATCTTGATAAAGTTGATAGTTTTTAAGATAAATGATAAATAATGATTCAAGACACAGAGAGGCCGATGCAACGCATGAGTCAGAGAGAGACAGCGATACTTAAAGGTAAGCGACGCATACTTGTAAGCGCGCGAAATTAACAATTGAAAAACAGATATAAACAATGAAATTTTTTTAAATCTCTATTAAAAATATTATTAACTATTGTATAGAGAATTTAAAAAATAGTATATTACACTATTAGGGCAGAAAGTTTGAGATTTCTACACTGCGTGCCATGATGCCCGAGGCGTAGCCAAGGGTATCATGGCGCGCAGTTCAGAGCTCTCAAAGTTCTGCCCGTGTAGTGTATACTATTTTTCTTTATAGCCGGTCGAAAGTACGTAAAATATTTAATGTACTGCATTGAAAAAAAATTGATGCCTGCCCTCGTCATTTGCGACACGAGCGAAGCGAGTGCTGCTGGTCGGGGAGGGGGGTAGATATAAAAAAAAAAATTAATGTAAAATCAAATAAAAAATAATTAACAAAAATTTTTAGATTAAATAAAACTGGTCTAATCTATCAAAATGGTCACGAGTTTGCTTTTCGCTGTCGGTTATTTGATATTGTTATTATAACACCAATAAATTTTTGATCGCATTTACTGCCTGACAAAGTCATTTAATGTTTTTCTATTGTTCTATTTTTTTCATTATCTCCGGACATTAACAAAAAAATTTCAACCTATCAGATGCAAATGACGACAGTATAGTTATTATTGCTAATGATTTAGAATTACTGCGCACTAACTGTGTACTGGTTCCGAGAGATATAAAAGATGGGTTCATTTGTTCAGCACTAAAATTCGTCTATTCGATAAAGTCTTGATACAATAAAGAATTTAATAATACAAATTTTATCTATCAAAATGGTCAAGAGTTTGATTTTTGCTGTCGCATGTCTGATATTGTTAGTATTCGCGCGAGTAAGTGTCATCAACGCAGATGTTTGCAAGCATTTGGGAGCTGCAGTATGAATAAATATTGTTATTAACTACTGATACAATTGATATACATTCATAATTAAATCAGAGTGATAAATTTCGTAAATTTACTAAATTAATTTGTTGTTTTAGTGTGCTGATCACAATGAATGCTGTGACAAACACTGTAAAGATCGAACATTAGATTATTATGGTATCTGCAGTAAAAAGCCTTATTCCTATCGACAGTATCAAAAATAATTAACAAAAATTTATTTTGAAAAAGCAAGTATGCCTCTGTACGCTTGAAAATGATTAAACGACATGAATTGTCGAATAACTATCCTCTGACAGTCACGTAATGACTGCAGGTTACTTCTAATTGTTGTTATACAAACATAATATAATAAAAAGTGTTTAAATCTATCCATTTATATTCAAATTTATTAACGTACAAAGAAGAGGTAGAAGTTGTTGTGCTAAACGATTTAACACGGTTTATTTACGGTCACTCATAACAACTCCCACAATTATCCTCAACAAAAAAGCCGCGACAATGCTCCTTAGTTCTGGGACAGCTAATTAGCAATAAAAATAACCTTTTTATTTTATTTACACAAAACTAAAATATTGTCATTTTTATTTATTAACTCCTCTTTTTTCTTTATTTATTATTATTCTCTCTCTGAAATTTCGTTTTTTACTCAACCTATAAATAGAACCTGCCCAAGAATTGGTCCTTTCGTTATTAATTAAAAATAAAGGTGCGTACTAATTTGAAAAGAATGGGATTGTTTTCAAAATTCGAGTATACAATACAGCCGTTTTTAATTTGTATAACGCTAACGGACAATAGAGGAGTCGTAAAAGTCAGATGAATTTCAGTGTTGGCCTCCTGTTCCAGTCTCTTTTCATATTCATTGAATACACCTAACCCTTAGTCTGGGTCATGTGTATACAATAAACAAAAACAAAACAAAGCAGACAAAAAATATGAATCTAAATATAAATATTGCATGTACCTTTCAATGAATGTAATATTGATTACATAGAATCTACGGACAAGCTTAATTGGCGCCAACTATCGACTTTGCTATAAACAAATCCGTATTTACTATTTTTTATTCCTTTAATAAAACTTTTTATTCGCAATATTTGTACAGCCTTTATTTCTTTCTTTTATTGTATTTAACTTCTACCATAAATATTAATTCTATTTTTTGTTTTCCCTCTGGCGTTTCTCTCAGCTATTGCTAATAGAATTAATAAAATCAAATCCAGTTATTTTATTGAATAAAAATATTCAAAGATAAAGTAATTAAAGTTTCGCTATCGCGGTCATTGGATACCAGAGAAATGTCTCAATTAACGCGTTTCCTGAATAGAATCTCACGTACATTACATGTGCCCATAATAATAAGGAAAAAAACACCCACATTACATTTTACATTATTACATTACTGTACACAAAGGAATGTATTGAGTTAGAAATCTTAACACGCTCATTATCTCGATCTATACACGTGGAATTGCGAGATAAAGAACCGGGGAATTTAAAATATAGTCAGCAGCTCGTTAGAACTGAAGTAATTAAACTAAATCTAATCTACTGATGTAATAAAATGTATATATGTATACAAAAATACATAAGTACGTATTTAATTAAATTTTTTACCGCTAAAAATGAAAGACGTCAATCAAATCACCGAAATATAAAAGTTTAAGTTGTATGAGTAACGAACATAAAAGCCCGTTGTGTATTTGGCGAAACCCGTGGCAAGTTTAAAAAAGTTCAGAATGTCTTTTTATTTTATTTTCATCTTCATCTTGATCTTATATTGGCCTTCACTTTTTTTGGAGTATTTGTATACCAGCTCTCACTCACTTTCACTTTCACACTTGTTATTCGCGTTACTACTCGCTACACGTCTAGTCCCTTTTTCTAATCTCCGGCGGAACCACTTTGCGTCAGTTCTCTCTACTCAGCCATACTACTTGATTTAAAGTAGTTCTCCAAAAAAATATTACGCCTCACGAGATTTCCGAGCTCTTTTTTATTTTCTTCTACACACGTCCGACGTTTTGCCAATCACTCAGCAAACCCCGGCCAAGTTTAGTCGCAAAACCTTTTTACCTTTTTTATATACTTTATTCTTAACTTATTTATATGCGATACAATCTCACATCTTACATCCACAAGATTCTCAATATTTTATCTAAATATGAGAAAGCAAAAAATAATAACTGATAACGATAACAATAACGGAAAATTTTTCTTTCTAAGATTTCAAAGCTCAAAAAAAAATTTTTTATAAAGCCACATATCGCCAATTTTCATATATGACCATATCAGGCTATTTATGAGAGTAAAAATTAATTTATTCTGATTTTTTATTTTTTGTCGACATGTATATATTAATTAACGTTACATTAAACAAAAATTTATTTAGAAATTGGTTAAACTAAATACCAATGTCAGATAAGCTCCTTAGACTAGTCAAAAAATTATTTATATTTTAGAACTATATATTTTAAACTCAACTTTCCAGTAACGAGATGATTAAACAATCATGCGCCATCTGTTGGAGATTATAAGCACTAATCCAAATCAAAAAATTAAATATAGTCCTATCTGACCATATCAAGCCATATATGTCTATATCATAAAATTATTTCAACTATTGAATGAAAAAAAAAATTTGAACATTAGTAGCGTGAAATTTATCAATTCAGGAAAAAAATAGTGATACCGTCGATTTAAATGGACGCGTTTCGTAAATGGTCCGAGCCGTTCGTGATAAATGGTAATGGTATACGTCAGGACGTCGGCAATAGCGATAACGCGAATGCAAAAGTCGGGGATCGAAGGAATAGAAGTAAAGGTGGAGAAGGATTGAATGGAGCTAAGGGCGAATTTAAGTCCGACAGGCATGTGAGGGTACATTCAAAATATACGTGCTAGTTTAATCCTCTGCAGCATTGAGGGCTCCAAACAGAATGCCGTATCGGATGGTGTGTATATATATATATATTCCAGAAGACTGGAACGGGTTAGGTGAAAGCCGATAGAAGAGAATAAAGATAAAGATGAGAAAGAGGTGAACTTGTGGATAAGAACAGGGCACTAACGCTCAGAACCTTTGACCCTTCTGCTTCAGAATAGCTTGGGTTTGGATATATGGCGGTACAATCGATCGTTAGGATCCTCGATATCTATCTTCAGTTTAACAGTTCCATTTATTTATGTCGTATATTTTAGTCAAATTCAATTTTTTAAGTGAAAATATGTGAATTTAAAATTTAAAGTTTAATTAACGTCCTGTCAAAATTAATGAGGTAATAGTTTAATTTAATAATGACCCGCTTAATGACAGACAAACAATTAAATAAACGGTACCATCAAAGTGGTCCAAGCAAACTTGCTGGAAATAATATAATATAATATAATACAAATACAAATAGCATCAGTGGGTAATCTGTTTTCTCTTGGCAATTGTTCCAGTGTTACGAGATGAGTTCCGGGCGCAACCTCAGAACACGAGGGTCGCCGCCGGAGAGACCGCACTGCTGGAGTGCGGGCCACCTCGGGGTCATCCGGAGCCTACTCTCCAGTGGAAAAGAAATGGGCATGTCATAGACTTGGAGTCTACCAAACGGTAAGTTGTCTCACATACACGTTATTATACTTAATAATAAAATAAAATGAACATTTTATTTTATAATATTTACATTTGTAAACCCCACAATAAAGGCTTCTTGTACAAGTGCTTTCTTATCTCTCTCATAATTCTCATTCGTATATAATGTATGAATTTATTTGCGGGTATTATTATTTAAGTATGATCATTTAGGCGTGATTAATACCGTGACTTTCTTTACAATTGACACGATTTTTTTTTTTTAATTGTTTGTGTAATGTATAATTTAAAACCTTGGGACTAAGTATTCAAAATTAAAATTACAGTAAAAAATTTTTCTTTAAAAATAAATTCAATTTTTTATTAAGAAGGTAACTGTTTAGATATGAGGCTCTGCCATTTTTAAGCATGAAAAATCGAAAAATTAACATATTCAAGTTTTTGTTTTATGTATGAATGTGATTTAAACAATTATAAAAAATAATTGTTTTTTAATTACATTTCTTAATTTAAAAAAAAAAAAATCCGTACTTGTCATTTTTCGATGAAATTTTTGAGACATCAGTCTATAAAGTAATTTTTATTAAAAAAAAAAAAAACTTTCATATCATAATTTAACCATTTTTTATAATTTTAAAAATTTTCAAATTTTTACGATGGATAATTTTTCAATATTTTTGCACCAAAAAATTATAAATATTCAACAGGAAATTTTTTTACGCAATGAGAAAATTTTTTCTGTAAAACTGAACCACAATTAATGACATTAATTAAAGTAACAGCAGTATATATACTCTACTCTCGTCCGTAAATGTATCGTATTGACAAAGAATTTAGTGTTTGCGCGGGTGAAAGCGCTTAGAGCCGGTTGAATAATTCCCAGCGATTAATTTCTCTCTCGTTGTTACACCGCGATGGAATTTAGGACCTCGTTGCGGGTTTCTGTACACACAAGTATGAGATCCTCGGTATATATACAGTTATATTAATACTGTACCGAAGACTAAGGAGTAAAGGAGTAAGAGTAAGGAATAAGGAACAAGGAGTAAAGTAAAGAGTAAAGAGTTGGCTCTAGACTACTATATACTCAACTCGGGGCAATAAGAGAGACAAGATGGGTAAAAGCCCTACCCGGTGACTTGGAGAACCCACCAGCACCAGCTCCAGCACGGTACAGGCAATGGTAATAATCCGAAGACACAAGGGCTCCGTAATCTACTGCGCATTTGCATGAGAATGGCGCTAAAGGATGTCCTCTATAATTCTTGCTGCGTTATCTCTTCTCGGTCCCTGGCACCTTCTACCCTCCACCCGACCGCCACTGAGTAGACCGTCCTTAAGAGCTAACCAAGACGAACTCGTTATTTACATTCACATTGTAGCTGTATAACTTACGGGCTTCCCCGTCCCGAGTATGAGGTGTGGGTGATGCACAAAATGCTTTTGCTAGTTCCTCTGCACTCACAGTCAGTCTTACTCTTACTCTTACTCTTACTCTTAATCTAGTTATTCACCGACTCATTCCTTTCCTTTAGCTTTATGCTCCGCATTGTCTCATCGGTCTCGAGTTATTGCGAGACATATATCGTTGATCCAGATTCCACATGCTAGTTTAAATTTTCAACCGTTTTACTCCACTGTTGTATTGTACATATTGTACACATTTTACATTGTGCATATTGTCATTTAAATATCACGAGTCTAAATCTTCCTCAACGGGACACGAAGTTATTTAATTAAAAGTTTTATTTCTAATCTCCCGAGGCTCGGAGTAAAATTTTAATAAAATAAAAACAACAAATGACGGTGCAATCCACGGTGCAAAAATTGGTAGTCTCTGGTGTAACGTTAAAGTCTTGTACACTAATGGTCTTAGTTGCACTCAGGAGTTTAATTTTATAATTTTATAATTACTTGTTACTATATTTTAGTAAATACAACAATAGAATCTTTGAAATTTATTTTACGAGTTAAATATTGAAAATACGATTATAAAATTTTTATTAATTTAACTTAATTTTCAAATTTAAAGTTACATGCTAAAAAAAATAATTACTAATTACAATTCCAATAAAGACGACAATAGAATTTTTAAATTTAATTTACAAATTAAATATTGAAGATATGAAAAAATCATAAAAGATTTTTTTACAGAGAATTAAATTTCTTATAAAAGTACTTCTTGCCAATTTTACCTAATTTTAGAATTTAAAGTAAAGTATTTGAAAAATAATGATTGTTACTTGGAATTGATAAAATTATAAATTGTAACAGACAACCGTCAGATATATTAAAAAAAAAAATGTCAGCATACCAAGAAATGTGGATGTTAAATTACTATAATTAATTTCAAATCTGAAAACACTTATATATTTTTGACAAGGCGGGAGTGACGGAGCGGGCAGTGGGTTTCGGGTAATAATCACAGGGTTATAAATTAGAGTAACTGATAGAAATTAAATCTGTCGACGTTAGCGCTGCGCAACGACCGCAGTTGCCCCGAGGGAGCCCTCTGACCTGTGTGCCGCCGTCACTAGAATTAATTGATACTATAAATTAGAGGACACAATCGAGGATCCATCGATTTTACGGGACGGCGTTGTCGTGCCCGGCTCTATATATCTGCGCTACACCGGGCTATCCGTATCCGAGAGAACGCGGCATTCCGTGAGTTTGAACTCGGCTTAATTGCTATCCGCCGATCCTATAGTGATGTTCTATAGGTATATACATACATATATAGATGAATATAGATATATACAAGTGTGATTGTTAAAGCATCGATCCTACCAGCAATAACAGAATCCTTTTGACAATCTAACCGACCTATCCTCAAATACTTGTCTACCTATTGTACAAATATTTGCCTCCAGTGAATAAACTCCTCAATAAAACTCTCGTTACAGAATTACTTTGGTTGACGGTGGCAACCTAATGATTTCCGATGTTCGCCAAACCGACCAAGGAAAGTATCAATGTGTCGCTCATAATATGGTCGGAGACAAAGAATCTGCTGTCGCTACTCTAACTGTTCATGGTAAGAAATTATTTTTAATATTAATAATGATGATGATGATTATAATGATGACAATCAAATTATTGATAATAATATTTTTTGCAGTGAAACCATTTTTCTTGGCCACGCCACAAAATCAAACGGTTCTCGTGGATCAAACAGCAGAGTTTGCATGTCGCGTCGGCGGGGACCCGGCACCTGAGATCCTGTGGCGAAGACACGACGGAAAAATGCCGATAGGACGTGGACACATACTCGACGACAAGAGTCTCAGAATCGAACGAGTTACACCCCAAGATGCGGCGACTTACATTTGTCATGCTGAAAACGGAGTCGGTGTTATTTCAGCCAGCGCGACATTAACCGTCCAATGTAAGTAAATAATATAATATAATAAAAAACGAAAAAAATAGGATTCATAATAATAAATAATATATTAAATTTATTTGAAATTAATTAATTAAAGCAAACATCTTTGAACTTGATTAAAGTATTAGTTCACAAAATAAGTACACAAAATTTGATTCAGATCGATTGAAAATAATGGATGCAATTTAACTAACATGGCACGTTACACATCATGTACATGCATACACAGAAAAAAAAATATTCTTGAATTAAATATATATTTTTGAAGAGCTCAATGTTCATAGTTTGAGTATAAAAATTCTTGATTTAAAAAAATTTTTCTTGATTTAAAGAAATTTTACTTAATTCAAGAATTTTTCGTCTTAATTCAAGACAATTACTCTCTTCAAAATTATATTCTTGGTTAGAGAATTTATCTCTTGAATCAAGTTAATTTTTTTTTCTGTGTACGTAAATAAATTTTTGGGCCAGTGTTACTTTTTGATACGATTAGAAAAATAAAATAAAACATAACACAGTTTCTGTAAAATTATGGTATTAGACCGGCTACAGGATATAGATTCATGAAATAAAAATCTACATAAAATGCAAGAACAAAAATAAAATTTTATTTTGTCTCGTATTATAATTAAGCGACATCTTTCTTTTCTGTTTGGTATACGAATACATTAAAAAAAATAATAATACGTAAATAAAGTGAATAAAATTATCATATATTTCAGTAAAAATAATAATGTCTAGACTTGTAGTAAATTAATGATAACTCTGGTAAAGGTAATAAAGTAAAGGTAGAAGAATAAGTGATGTTTTGCAATAAAGCAATTATTGCCGAGACAAAGTAAAATCAAGGCAAAATAATTCTAAAATATCATTTTCATTCTATCTATATATATAATAATATACTTCTGTTTATTAATGCCGAGTATTTTTATTTATATTTTTATTATTAATTTACCCCAAAAGCTATTTCATTGTTATTCGTCGGGTTTCAAGAGTAGTTTAATTAGAATTTGCAATGAGACTTTGTTGAGTCGTCCCTTGCGTCTCGGTCTCACTGATACTGAGACGCATTGCCCGGTGCTTTGCCAGAGCCAGTACAGGAACAGAACCAGAAGCAGTAGTAGTAGCAAGGGTGATTTAATTAGAGTCCACGAAGATAGACATCTGAGAGAGAGAGAAAAGAGACTCATCTCGTTTTACATTACAGCACGACCGGTCTTCACAAACTTCCCGAAGGATGAAACCGTGAGCGGAGGTTCGGACGTATCATTCGCCTGCTCAGCCCGCGGAGCACCGAAGCCTTCCATTTTCTGGACCCGCGAGGGCTCCCAGGAGCTGATGTTCCCCGGTAATGTTTACCAAGGCCGGTACATAGTCAGCGAGGACGGGAGTTTGCACATCAAGCAAGCCGTTAAAAAAGACGAGGGACACTATGTTTGCAGCGCAATAAGCCAAGCTGGTGCTAGCACGGCCACTGTTTTTCTACAGGTAAATATTATTGTTTTTCTACAGTAGAACTTGGATAACTTAATAAAATTTTGTGTTCTCTGCCTTTCAAAATTTAAAATCTCTCTAAATCTATAACTTGAACGAATAATTCGAGCGTTCGTCTTCAATAAAAAGTAAAAAAAATTCCTGAATCAAATAAAATTGAGCTAGAAAAATTGTTTTACTACAACAACTTTTTTTCTTTGGTTCTAGACAAACGGAGATTTTTATTAAAAAAATTTTTATAGAGGATTCAATCATACACAAAAAAAATTTATTGATTATTCATATGAAGTAATTCGTTATGAAGTTACTAAATTTTTAAGTTAAAAAAATACATATTAGTAATATTTAAACAAAACTGAACTTTTATAACTTAAATTTTAAAATAAATGAAGTTAAAATTTGAACTTTTAGAACCTTCCTAATTTAAGCATTGATGAATATACTCATATAAGGATTTATTAATATTTGATGTTTTATGATTTGTTAGTATGTTATTTTTTTAACGTCAGGTTATTTAATAAATAAATATGAACTGTTAATAAATTCATTTTTCTTCAAAAAAATATTTTAAAGATTGAAAAAAAATTTACATTTAATAAAAAAAAATAAATTGTTGCCAAATAAATAAACTTATCAACAGTTAATAAATAAATAATTTTTTTAATTGAAATTTCACTGTATTTCTTATATAAATAATAAAAATTTATTTAACAAAATATAATAAAATCATAAAATTTGTTTAATTTAAGGTAACACCTCTTGAAGAAGTCCCTCCACCAATAATAGAACTAGGACCAGCGAATCAAACACTGCCTCTAAAAAGCACCGCTTACTTGCCTTGCCGCGCAGTAGGAACACCAACGCCGCGAGTCCACTGGCACAAAGACGGTGATTTAGTGCCCCTAGGAACCCGAATAACAATGTCCAGCAACGGAACTCTGATAGTAAACGATCTAATAATGGCCGACGGCGGACTATACACCTGCATCGCCTCCTCCGAGTCTGGCAACACATCATGGTCAGCCACCCTGACCATAAGTTCTGGTACAACCCTCCACAAAACTCCAGACATCTCAGCACTGCCCCAAAATCCTAGCAAGCCCAGAATCGTGAACATCACCAGCACCTCAGTCACGCTCACGTGGAGTCCCGGCCAAGAAGGCAAAAGCAAGATAATCGGGTACAACATCGAGTACTTCAGCAGCAACCTCAACACCGGGTGGGTCATCGCAGCAACTGGAGTCACCGATGACACTTACACCGTCACCGAACTTAAGCCCGACACCAAGTACGTGTTCCTCGTTCGCGCCGAAAACAGCCACGGTCTGTCCCTACCTGGACCCCTCTCCGACGTTGCTCACACCACGAGTCAAAATCAGTACTCCGTCCCTCAAATCGAGCTGATTCGCGCCCGCGACCGCCTTAACAGCGAAATTCTTCACTTAAGAGAAGTTCAGCCCGTTAGCAGCACCAGCGTCAAAATAATGTGGGACATCCTAGGCGCTGCTGATCTAGTTGAAGGTCTGTACATCCGGTACCGCGAAATCTCAAACAAACCCGAGTACCAGATGGTTACCGTCTTAAACGCTGGAGCCACCAGCTACGTCCTGACCAATCTAAAAAAATACACTCTCTATGAGTTCTTCTTGGTTCCTTTTTACAAAACAATCGAAGGAAGACCCAGCAACGTCCAACTAGCGACCACTCTTGAAGACGTACCCTCAGGACCTCCAGAAAACGTTCACGTTGGAATGATAAATATGACCTCCGCGTTCCTAAACTGGCAACCTCCGATAAAGAGCGAGCAAAACGGTGAATTGATCGGCTATAAGATACAAATAAAGAGCAACAGCAGCAACAAAGTTTTGGGACAAATGTCTATCAACGCGACGACCACTTCAGTGACTATCAACAGCTTAACGACTGGTGGGTTGTACACAGCCCGAGTTGCAGGATTAACACGCGCAGGAATCGGGCCGTATTCAAATCCAGCGATTTTGAATATGGACCCGGGACAATTAACGCAATTACCACCGCGAACTGATCCTAGTCACGGAGGAATGTCAGTAGTTACTGAGACGTGGTTTTTGGTTCTGATGATCACCATGGTCTTCACGATAGTCGGAGGATTGGCGGCGGTTCTCTATGTTCGTCGACGACAGGCCATGAGCAAGCAACTAGGTCACCTCAGTGTGCCTGTAGGAACTGCCAATGACATTTGCCAGCTCAACAAAGATACACTGTGGCTAGAACGCGGCTGGAGGCCGACCAACACTTTGCAGAGCAACGACAAAGATTGCGAGACCAAGTTGCTGAACAATCAGCAAATGATTGCTCCGGGAATCGTCAGTATGGCCGGTTCTGAGTATGCAGAAGTTAATCTTACGACTTTTTACAACACTAGGAAGCAATTGCAAGCACCACCTGAACCTTACGCGACTACAACGCTCTGTGTTGGGAACCGTAGTCCGGATTCGATGGAGGGAAGTGGCCAGAAGTCGAACTCTAGTGACTCTTGCATGAAGCCGGATTACTCAAACTTGGACTCTAATCAAGAACACAACCAGTCGACCTTGTCGCCTAGCAGTGACAATGCCAGCAGCTCGTATACTGATGACAACGCTGGACGCTCCCAGCAATATCGTCTGAACCAGAACGACAATACTCAGACGAGTCAGACGAGCATGCCTAATTGGTGCGACATGCTACCCCCTCCTCCTGAGCATCCACCGCCATCTGGCGGAACTGGAACCAGCGGAACGTCTCTGTCTGCGAGAATGCAACAACAGATGGCGTTTAGTCCGCATTTGGGGAAACGAAGTGTCGGAAATGATTTGGACGGAATTAATACTACTAATTCTCAGAGCCCGCCTACACCTCCGGTGAGAGTCGGCAATAATTTTTCGTCATCTCCGACTCCGTGGAACAGTCAAGTCCCGCCTCATGATGCAACTACTATCGGGAACTATCAACAAGGAAGGTACACTACTTTACCGCCTCAGACTAACCCACCGCCTGTCCCGTCTTTTCCGCAAGGATTCACGCATTACGATTTTAAGAATCAGGAAAATGAGTATGAAAGCGGGTCTGTGATTTATGGGCACCAGAATGGCCTCGGAGAAGAGTACAGGGGTACGGGGTACAGCAGGCCTAGTCTACCGAGCCATCACCTAGATCTCAACCGAGGCGGATCGCTCAATGATGAAGTTTACAGGAACCACAAGGAAGATATGTTCAGGAATGAGAACCACTACCAGCACGAAAATGAGGAGTGGGACAGGAAATCCTGCGATTCTAACACTCATTCGGAGCTCTGCTGCTCCTGCTCGGAGTCCAGTTGTCTATATGCTGATACGATGGAATATAATAATCAGTTTCCCGGGACTGGGGGCAACGGATGCGGTCATAATAATAGGAACTCGGCGAGGAATAGAAATAATAGAAGCCCGCGTAGGAGGAACAATCGCGCTGTTTCTCCTACCTACAGCAGCGACAGCAACTACTCCTGCATCCCTCAGAGACAATGTGGACCTGTTAATTCGCAGGAACGGCTCAGGCACAATCGGAGTAAAGGTAATGATATGTTTTTTTTTTATTTTTTTTTTTTTCAAGTTGCGAAAGCTACCACAGTGCATCGCTGATTGTTTTTAAATATAATCTTCGGAACGTAAAAACTTACAAAAATAATGAAAAATAACATTTTTTTGATGCTCTTTATGCTTTTTAAAAAAAAAAAATCTAAAATCAAAAGTGATTGTATAGAAAAAAAATTAGTAAACTTCCACTCTCAGAAATTCAAATTTTAAGAATTTGAGTATAAAAATTGAAAATTTTTAAAAATAAAGTCTTAACACGCTAAAATTTCAACATTTTATAAAAAATAGATTTTTTAAAAACTCACTAAAATTAATAATTTCTCAAATTTTTGAAAATTTTCAATTTTTATAGCCAAAAGTTCAAAATATTAAATTTTAAAAGCGCAAAATTAAAAAATTAAAATAAAATTTTTTTATGTACACAGAAAGAAAAATTAACTTGAATCAAGTGGATTTTTTTTTTATTTTTTTTTTTTTTTTCAAGTTGCGAAAGCTACCACAGTGCATCGCTGATTGTTTTTAAATATAATCTTCGGAACGTAAAAACTTACAAAAATAATGAAAAATAACATTTTTTTGATGCTCTTTATGACTTTTAAAAAAAAAAAATCTAAAATCAAAAGTGATTGTATAGAAAAAAAATTAGTAAACTTCCACTCTCAGAAATTCAAATTTTAAGAATTTGAGTATAAAAATTGAAAATTTTTAAAAATAAAGTCTTAACACGCTAAAATTTCAACATTTTATAAAAAATAGATTTTTTAAAAACTCACTAAAATTAATAATTTCTCAAATTTTTGAAAATTTTCAATTTTTATAGCCAAAAGTTCAAAATATTAAATTTTAAAAGCGCAAAATTAAAAAATTAAAATAAAATTTTTTTATGTACACAGAAAGAAAAATTAACTTGAATCAAGTGGAAAATTCTTGAACCAAGAAAATAATTTTGAAAAGTTTCATTGTCTTGGATCAAGAAAAAAAATTCTTGAATCAAGTAAAATTTACTTGAATTAAGAAAAATTTTTTAGTTTAAGAATTTTTCTACTCAAATTAAGAAGATTAAGTTCTTCAAAATTATTTACTTGATTCAAGTTAATTTTTTTTTCTGTGTAGTGTAAATGCACTAGTTTTTGATCGATGTATAAAAAAGTTAATTAATTAATATTTTACAAGGGTTTTTTTTTTCTAAATGTATTACAAAAAAAAAGTATGGCATTTAATCATCATAATAAAAAATTGTATTTCAACATTTAAATAACAAAATTAATATAATTTTGTTAATTTTTATTATAAATACTTATTAATTATTATTAAGTATTTAACTTTAATAAAATCCATTATAAATCGTAGTTAATATTTTATTAGTTTTCTTATAGCTTAGTACAGAAAAAAAACCTTAATCGGTCAATAATTGGTGCATTTACCCTACGCCCTTTTGATTTTAAAAATTTCAATAAGTCATAAAATAAAAAATTTATTCTTCAATATTTTAGTAAATTTTTTATATTCTTAAAATGATGTCTGAAAAAAATTATTTTAAACGCTTTATTAGCATTATTAAAACGATTTATTATAATTTGTAGAAATTCAGAATGTTCTTTAATAAAAAAAATTTTTTTTAGACAAAGTGCCGAGTTTTACGAGAACCGGAGGGTACGCACAGCACAACTCATCAGCTTCAAACACTATGAGTAGCACAGGCAGTCAGAGGTACAACAAATTGAACAGCCTCTTCAACCCCAATGGATTAACAGACACGACAACACGGCTAAGCGATCACCGAGACAGTTAAATTTTCGACTAAAATAAAATAAATAATAAAAAATACATTTATCGGCCACGATTCTTGCCAACGAAATGGCCTGCTGTGAGAGTACTGTAATAATCATTATTTAAACATTAACTATTAATTATAAATATAGTAATAATAATAATTATTAAAACAATAATATTACTAATGACTTGTAAGAATAACTGAAAAATACGACTAGACTGCTCTCGCATTGTCAGAAAGACAATCGATGCCAACGTGAGCAATACTCAAGTATAAAAAAATATTATGTAACGTTGTTTTATAAATGCCATTTTATGTCTTTTTATTATTATCAAATATTAATAATTATAACTATTATTAATTAAAAACAATAACGAACACTAGCCATCTGTTGATAAGTCACGGCGATAAGAGAATAAGCTATTATGTTTAAACTTAACAATTTATATTAAATAAAAAATATATTAAAAATAATAAAAAATGTTGAATTAATGTACAGCTTATACTTCCACAAAATAATCTCAGTTAATAATTAAATAATTTAATCTAATATACTTAATCATTTATGATTATTATTTTCTTCTATTATTTTTACGTGATTGAGATAGCGAAGATATAAAATAAAATATTTTTTTTCTAATTGTTATTTGTTAGTTGAGATTATTTAAATGACATTAACAGATCTTTATTAAGACAATAGTTGCTGTAGCTAATACTTTGTTCACAGATAATAATAATTGCTATTATTATTATTATTATTATTATTATTATTATTATTATTATTATTATAATAAAAAATCAATGAACAAAAGGTTCCCTATTCTTGTGTAGATATAACCTTGTGAATATTAAGAGGTTTTATAAATAAATTCGTGTGGTTTTATTTAATTTTTGTATAATTTTCGGTAAAAGTGAGATTTTAGATAATAATAATAATTATTATTAGTACGAAGATAATTTGTAATAATTAATAATTAATATATTATTTAGATAACTTGATGCCATGTAATCGCTCAAACTAAACGTATAATTAGTTGGAAAATTAGTTAATAAAAAAACTTGACTAATTAAACCCACTAAATTTTACTTTGAGAGTTTAAATTCTGTTAATTATATTTAATCTAAATTAATATACTAAGATCTGATTAAAGGCTTTATATAAATTATTTTTTACTTTTTTATTAAATTAGTTGTCGAAATGAAATCATTTATTAATTTCGGATTATTTTTTAATTTTCAAAGACTCCATCCACCCGATTTATTAATTATTCAATTAAATGAATAAATAAATTACACTGTCTTAACAAAATAGCTGCAATTATTTAGAAACAGTACCTTAGTTACATTATAATTGCGGACTTTATCGCTAAATTGTCACCTACTTGTAATTCAATCATTAATAAAATTAAACAAAATAATGGAATACATTAATTAAATGTAAGTAATAAAATGAATTTAAAAAAAAGTCATTCTATCACTACTCGAGATAAATATACATATACATATACATAAATATATATATATATATATAACGTATTATTTTTATAATTTAATATCTTGTAGTGGTTGAAAGAATGACTTGTTTAAAAATAAATTTATTTAACATTTGAATTTATTTGTGTAAAATATGTAACAGGCTTTGTCTAACGAAGCCTTTGATTAAGTGTATAGACGCGCACATAAAATATTATTATAATTACTTTATGTACTGATATAAGAAACTTAACGATCAATGTGCTATTAAATGAAGTAATAAATAAATAAATAAAATGATAGTTAATAAATGAACAACTTTCAACTCCAGCGTACTGTTAAATTAAAATTAAAAATCTTTAAAAAATATTAATATATTCTGGGTATTAAATGATGATAAATTAAATTTCGGCGACTAGGAGAAGCTAGTGCTTTATCCATATCAATATAAAAAAAAAAAAAAAGGATTCGCGGCATTTTTAGAATTGAGATAATTGAAAAAGAAAAAAATAAAAAATTGAATAATTCAACTGGAGAATTTAGTTGTGAATGTTGTATTGTAATTAAATATTCGAGCACTGACTGTCGCAGTCTGATAAAATATAGTTGTAAATATCAATAATAATGTAAGGACGACATAAATGTTTTATATAGCTATTAAATTATTTATTATAAATAAATAAATGGAGGCGATTGATATCAAGCCGGTGGAAAACAGTGAGTCGGTTGAATGGTAGTGTTTTGCAGTACTGTTTGATCTGTTAATGTAATGTAATGTAATGATATTATATGGTAATTAATAATTGATAACGATAATGAATAATTAATATTAATAACGTCAACACAAAAAATTCAACATATGATTGTAGATAATTTGTAACAATCGCTATTGTCAAGTACTACGTATGTATCATTGCATATTACACAGATAATGATTAATAAAAATAATGTTAAAAATTTCATAATCTTGTTGACTTTTTTATTAGTAATTGTAAGATCATTTACCCATGATACTAAAATTAGCTGACGTTCAACAATTTTTTGATCAATTTTTATTTATTAAATTAGAACAAAAAAATATTTTTTTCAAATTGCACTTATAGTTTTTTACAAATAAAAATTTTTTTTTAATTTTTTTGTTATGATAAAAAATTCTAAAAATTTTTAGATGTCAGCTAACTTAATTTTCATCATTTACCCTCATTAATTTAATTTCTTCATTACTTAAATTTATTACTTCAATTATTGGCTTCAAAAATTTTTCTTAAATATTTATTAAAATTTTTGATTCTTTTTTTTTGAAAATTATTTTATAAAATAAATAATTTATTTTTTATAAGACTGAAATCAGCAGACACCTGACTTTTTTAAATTTGATAAAAAAATTATTTTTTTACTTCATGACAATAGCATAATTTTTTTCTTAATCAATTGAAAATTTTTATTGATGGAATTTTTTATTTTTTCTTCCTAACAATAATTTATTTAAAAAAAAATTTTTGTGAACTGTCACTTGTCTGTTAATTGAAGTATAATTATTATTTAATTAAAAATTACACTTACGAATGATGAGCTTCTCAAAAATCTGAACCTAAAGTTGCCGCTTCTGCGTCGCCAGCAATACTTTTTTATTAGACGACACCGGATGGGGATGAATTTATATTGATAATTTTCATTAAAAAACACTAATTCTATTCTAACAATCGCTCGAAACAATATAAGATTACTTTTGCAATTATCCGACGCGAATAATCAAGTATTCAACATTCGAAAAATTATAAACTTCGAGAAACTTAACTATACTTAATAACATTCTACTTTTAAGACTAAAAAAATTTTTATTTTTAAATTAATTGTAAATATTATTTTGATTCAATAATTTAAATGATTTTTTGTACATTTTGCGTTTAATAAACATTAAAAAGTATAAAAATTTAGAAGAAGGCACCAGCGACATCCGTTCCCGTTATTGCGTCTAACATCTCTACTTGCGGTCGACAACCGAATCGATTATGAAGTGAGTCGCTCTCGTTGTAAGCGACTGCGCGCGCTCTAGTCGCTCTCTGGCGGTTAAATAGAGAACGGTCACTCCGTCGGTAATATAAAATACTGTGACTGTGTTGGTAATGTGAAATACTATTTAAAAAAATTTAGTTGGACCAAAATGTCAATTGAAAAATTGAAATATGTTTACAAAAAATATGAAAATTAAGTTAGCCGACATCTAAAAATTTTTAGATTTTTTTTATATTGAAAAAATTATTACAAAAAAATAAAAAAAAATTGCACTTGTAGAAAACTTGAAAAACTATAAGTGCAATTTTTCAAAAATATCTTTTTAGTTGTAATTTAATTAATAAAAAAAATCAACAATTTTTAAACGTCTGCTAACTTTAATATCATACAAAAAATATAAATATTACTTAATAAATATATAATTAAAAATTAACAAAGTTTCATTTCAAAATAAAAACTAAAAATCAAGAATAAAAAAAATTCTTGAGTTTCTATGATTGAAATTGTTGCTTATAAAAATATGAAAATTAATTTAGCAGATACTTGATAACTGTAAGATTTTTTTTAACAAATAAATTATGGCAAAAAAAAATTAGAAAAGAAAACTGACATGTAGAAATTTTTAAAAGTTAGAAATGAAATTTTTTTAAAATAATTTTTCGGGTGAAATTCGTTTTTGTTAAAAAATGGTTAAACGGCTGCTAGCTGTGTAATGTCTATAAAAATTCACTTTATTTTATTACGCGAAAAAATAAAGTCAAAGTTCAAGACAAATTATATTAATTTAAAAATAATAATAGATATTTGAGTGTAAAAATTTTGCAAATTTAATTAAACAATCACTTTCGTAGAAAGTATCATTAAAACCTATAAAACATATTACTAAAATTCAAATCTTCGTCACTTATAATTATTACAATTGATTCTTGCTTCATTCTCTTATAATCGCATTAAATATTGTTAATGAAAATAATATCGAAGAGTGGATTTATAAATGATTTTTTTACTTCGATAGTCATTTTAAAAAAAACATGTTATTTTTTACTTCAACTGTTTTGTTCACCTCAATTGACATTACATCATTTGAAAAATAAAATTTTTAAAGTTATTTTAATATTTACAAATCGACTAATAAATAATAACAATGGATAATACAACTGGTCAAGATAATAATAGTGCCCAAAAGTCATTACAAATAGAAAAGACCAAAATAAAAGAAGCTAATAAGAATCAAATCAGGATTTTAAAAGCTGTCAAATCTGCTTCGATGACTAAAAATAACTCTAAAACACGGTAACTATTTTTTATTAAAATAATGATAATTTATATTTACTTATTAATAAATTTTTTTAGTGTAATCAAACCAAAGAGTAAGTATACACTGAGATTAGCCCAGAAGAAAGTGTCAAAAGTAAGCGCAAACAAGAAAACAATCCAAGAACTACCGGTTTACATCCCACGTAAAATATTCCGTATAGTTTCATTATTACGCAATGAAAGATTTTACAAATTGGTCGCTAAATTTTTTAAGCCCAACGCAGAAATACCTGCATGGAAATTTCCCAAACAATCTAACAAAAAAAGTGTCACTAGAAAACCTTCGTAATTTGGAAATAATATTCGAATAAAAAAGCAAAACTTATACCTAAAGACTTTATTAATTAACTTAATTAAAATTTAGATAATTATTTTTTTTACAATTTATAACCAAGATAATAGATACTCTAAAAATCACAGCTCAGATCTTAGCGAGAATTAAATATAAAGACAATATAATAATAATAATTCTACAATTCTAAATCGTAATAACTGCTATAATATTAATTATTATGATTATGAAAATATTTTAAAGCATTTTAAAAGTTGAATGAACGCTGACAAGAATATTCTACTCTATACTTACAATATAAAATATACAAAAGATGACTTATTCTATTTATGAACATTCAATGACATCTATTAGCATGTGCCGAAGGTATAAAAACTAAAATAAGGAATAACATACGGTGTATAAAGTATAAAGTATAATAAGATAATAGTAATAATAATTATTATAAAAATAATAACTGGATTGTTATATAAGATACTAGAGTTTACTCTCGAGATCGTCGACGACCATAGCGGGATTCGAGACAGCCCACTTTTCTTTCAACTGCGACTTGTCTTTACTTGGTTTATTATTTAAGCTTTCAATGCCTGCGTAATGATCTTCTATTTCTTTTAGCGTCCTTCCTTCAGTCTCCGGCAATAAATAATACATCACAATAAAACCAATTACGTTGACACTCGCATAAAAGAAAAACGTCCCCCAAAGATACATCAGATCGACCATGTACAAAAATGTTTTGTTTATTATCGATGCAAAAATGTAACCCGTACATGCAGCAGCTCCTGTCGCTGTACTTCGTCCCTAAAAAAATAATTAATCAGATATTTAAGGTGGTACGAGCGCCGGGTGGCGTGGGAAAGCGTATTGACTCTAGCGCGATAAGGGGAGAGCAGTAACCATACACGGAAAAAAGTAAACTTATAAATTCCGGTTAATTTTTATAACTTCAAACAGTAAAGCGGACATCGGGGTGGCAAAAATATAAATATTACAGAACTTAATGTAGAAAGTGTAAAAGCCACAATTTGTAATTTAATATCCAAAATAAGTGATTAGTAGCTGTCACTATAGTAAATAACGACTCTTTCATCTTAAAAAATTACAGTTTCAAACAGTAAAAATTGCCATTTCAATATATAGTTCATATTGTGAGGAGAAGGGGAACTCAGATGAAAGAGAAGGGGGTCTCACTCTGGGAGAATTTAACATTTGAAACAGTAAAAATTATAATTTTAAAATATACATTTTACCAGTCCAAGCAAGTCAATAATTACAGTTTGATTTTTAGCGTTGCGTTTAAAATTTATCATTTTACTTTGTTAATATTGACGTTGCTTGTATTAGAATTTTACTAACTTTATTTTATACTTTTTACATATCATAACATCATTTTTTAGGTACGAAATGATAAATATTAAAGTCTGAATTCTTAATTATTATACTTTAACATTTTAGGCATTTACATAGCGAATATTACTGTTTGAAATAGTATTTTTTTTCCATGTAATGAGTAAATTGTAACGTTTAAATGGTAAATATTATAAAGTGAATAGTAAAATCACGATTTTACTGTTTGAAATGGTAATTTTTAGCAGTTGATCATTACTTATTATCAATCGACTGTTATTTATTACAGTTTACTTTTTTCCGTGTATGATTTTTCTCAATATATAGATAAACATTTGACATTGGCCGATGGCGGCATTTATTTTTCTTTTAATTGATACACTTTAATTAGTCGGGCGAGTGTAAATTTTTTTGGATTAAATTCATCACTAATATATTTACTTACATCCATAAGTTTTTTAAAAATATTCACCGACAGTTTTACGAGAAAAATACAGAAATGTATCAATGCTTGGAAGTCACCCCATAAGACCAATGTAAAATTGCTCAACTTCAAAGTTAATTATTTATTTAAATAATCAGGCAATCTCCTTCAAATTTTCGGAATTTATTTAGACATATTCATACTTCATATTTAAAAAAAATCAAGCCTTTTATCAAAAGTTGCCTTGGTGCTCGTACTACCTTAAAAAAAAACTAATTTTTAGACTTCTTCAAAGGTCATCGAATAAATTAATCATTTCATTTCGACAGAGAAGATTTTAAAATCCATTGCCATCAAAAATAATTTGATTGACATAATTGCATCATCACAAACACCTTGAAAATTGTATTACAATAAAAGGTTAAAAAAATAAATAAATATACCTTGGCTGGAAAAACTTCGCCGCAGAGAACCCAAGGAAGAAGTCGAATGCCCATGTGAGAGAAAAACGCTGAGCTGATTAGCAGAGTTGTAGGTATCCATGTGAACATTTGTCCGTCTATATACGCAGATCTATTTAAATAATCATATATAGCGCAGGTCATGAAGCAAAATCCAGCCCCGCCGATCGAGATGAAGGTGATCACTCTCTTGCCAGTGAAGTGGATTATTATTACGCAAACAGCTGTGCCAATAAGTTCTGCGAGTCCGAGGAAAACAGTGGCTGTGTATTTTTCAAGTGGAGCGTCCAAGGATGCGAAAATTGTGACGGCAAATGTTTGCAGTGTCGCAGAACCGCCGAATGAAGAAATAAAGAATCCAAGAGATATCAATATATACGGGTATATGAATGTTCGCTTGCTGAATATTTTCCACCAGTACTCTTTTTTGTCATCCATGCCGCCAGCAACTATTCTTTGAGAGACTTCATATACGGTTTTCAGTTCTCCGGTGATGTATGAAGGTGATACCCATCCTCGGAGCCAGCATAGCGCTTCTTCAGCTTCTTTTAGTCTGTTTTTACCTGTTTTAATCATATTATTATTATTATTTGTATTGCTATCATTATTATTATTATTATTATTATTATTATTATTATTATTATTATTATTATTATTATTATTATTATTATTATTATTATTATTAATTCAAGGGGATTTATTGTTTTTTAAGGCAACTTACACTGATAGAAGGATTTATTTGTATTAAAAAACATTTTTTAATAGTTAACAAATCATTTATTAGAAACCACATTTGTTTGTATTTAATGAATCTGATATTAATTTATTAAATATTAATAAATCTTTTTAAATACTAAGAAATATTTGTTAAGGACTAAAAAGTGATCTCTAATAAATAATTTGTTAAATATTAACAAATATTTTTGACAATAAATAAATTCTTCTATCAGTGTACCCGATCCACTTAAAGACTATTCAATTTTTATTTATTAATTATTTTCACCGCAATATTTTCGATATGAGCACTCATACCATCCTCGGGTGAATATATAATAATTAAAAATCCGAACAAAAACAGCTAAAAATTCATTATCTTGCAACGATTCTTTGGTTCTTTTCATGAAAGCAGATTGCTCTTTAGCAATGAAATCATGCGGTAAGAGACTAACAATATGATGACAAAATGTTTCGATAAATTCCGGAGAAGCCTTGAGATTGTCTTTCTATAGCGAAAGATGGCGGCAAAAAAAAACCAGTCCAAAAAAAACTTATTTTATGCAATTTAACAGAATTGTATAAAACTTTTAAAGAACAACATTCATTGTGTATTTCAATTTTTTTAAAGTCCTAGTAAATAGATTTTGCGAATTTAGTTAAAAGTAAAATATTTTGCAACCGCGCACACTAAATACGTTTCAAAATTGTTTTTTTAATTTTTAAATTTACAAAAAAGTTTTTTTTAATTTCCGAAAATCATAAACAGTCATATCGGTTACTTGGATTTTTTAATTTTTTTATTTGATGTCTTTTTGTAAAGAAAAAACTAATTTTTTTTTCTTAATCGTCTTATGAACGTGGACTTGGCGCGTTTTTTTTACAGTGAAACTGTTTTTGTTCGGATTTTAGTATTTTTTGTAATTATAATATAAATTTACAATTGGTACCAACTTAACTCTCGCGTTGGCTGCATTTTTTATAGCAAACTATTCCCTTGAGGCTACAGTTTATGTAAAAATAATTCCAGCGCACCCTTGCGGGTGTAGATGCAAGCTGTGAAATATCTTTTTTTGACTGTAGTTTCCCATCTAATGAAGGATTACTATGTATTCTCGAATTATTTAGTCTGTGGCTGATCACTTTGCCCATCGAAAAAAAGTCAGGATCGAAATTTATATTATTCGTTCAGTTGAACGTTCGAAACTTCAAGTACATGAAATTTTTGCGTTGCTATAGTTTGTGCTGATTAAATTTATTAATTTCAAGTAGATTAATTGTTATATGTGAATATAATTAATTAATAACAGTAAATTAAAGTATGAATTACTGTTATAATATACAATTTATGAAAAAAAAGTACCGTAGAATTAAATCAAATTTTGCAACCTCAAAATACCGTTCTGCTTACAGTAAACACAGTCGGTAGTCTGGCGCTCCGTTGACAACGGATTTGAACGGAACTTGGCGCCAGATTCTACCGAATCTGTGGATTTTGATTTCGATCACAATTTAATTGAGATTATATAAAAATCTTATTTTTTACTCAGTGAAACTTTTTTCAGTAACCGAAAAAATAATTCAGAAAATCCAGGTTCGAGTCCTAGTCTGAGCGCTCCGAATAATTTTTTCAGTTACTCATAAAAGTTTCATTGAGTAAAAAATAACATCTTTATATAATTCCAATTTTTAAAATTGTCCCAATATTTTAATATTGTGATAAAAATAATTAATAAATAAAAATTTAATAGTCTTTAAGTGAATCGGGTAAGTTGGCTTGAAAAAATAATAAATCATCTTTAATCAGTAAAACACCTATATTAGTAATATTATTATTTATTTATTTATTATATTTATTTAAATAAATTATTAAATTAAAATATAATAAATTATTATTATTTTCTTTATATAATTGAAAATTTTTAAATTAAATTTTTTCTAAGATAAAAATTACCTGCAAGCCAGTAAGGACTTTCTGGCATCAAACAAAGCGCAAGGAAACATATCGTAGGAAAAATCAAATTGATTAGCGCAACAGTCCTCCAATCAGTGAGACTTCCAACTAATAATTGCATAAATACACCAATAATTACAGCCATGGATGAAGTTGCTGATAGCATACCACGGAGATGAGGCTGCGTTATTTCGGCGACGTATGTCAGCACTGGAGCTTCGCACAGACCGCCAGTTATTCCGGTTAATGCTAGGGCTAGGAAAAGTAAAGGGGTTGAATTTGCGTAGTAAAACAATATCCACGCTGATATGAAGGGTATGTTGATGAACAGCATTGTTTTTTTACGCCCCAAGCGGTGGGATATAGGCCCGCTCATCAGACATCCTAGTGGTACCATGAATAAGTTTATACTGCCTGAAAAAAAATTTTATATATATATACTTTTTTAAAGTAATTATTGTTACAAAGTAATAATAATTTTTATTGTAATTATAAAAAGAAAGAGAAACAATAATCGATCATTACTTATCCACGTGATTTCTTCTCGCGTAACAGTTATATCAGCATCCTCTTTTTGTAACGATGGGATTAAAATAGTTGGGAAACCGAGCGTTGTTCCGAACGTAAGTAAAAGTAAATTTTTAGCGCTCACTGCGAATACTTGTGGTAATGCTTGTCGTAATTTAGATATTTCCAACTTTTCGCTGGTGCCGTTTGCTTCAACGGATCCGTTTATTTTCCCATGTCTGCAAGTAATTAAAATAAAATAAAAATAATATCAATTACAATTAAAATTGCAATTATACATTGAACTCATACCAAGTGATTAACATTTATGAAAAAAATTGAAAATGATTGCGTAATACGGTAACCCTAATTTAATTTAAATTTAAAATCCACCATTCACTTTTTACAGCTTATCGAGTTTTTCACCTTCACCTACATTCTCAGGCTCAAGTATATCAAAATTATAGGAAATAATAGGCTCTTTACTCAGCTCAATAAGCCTTGTGATTCGTTCATGCAATTAAGTCAAGATAAATGGACTTTACTTGAGTTACCAAGAAAATTTTTCCCAAGACCAGAATCAAAATCTCATATCAGATATTGTTGTCAATAAAATGATAATCAAAATTAGTATGAAATACAAGTAGATATATAGAGCAAGTTTATCGCAGGTTAGTGAGATCTAATCAATAGTTTTATAGACAAAATAATAAACAAACGGATTAATAATAAAAATCATTTTTAATCAGAAATATAAATATTAAAAGCATGTAATTTTAAAAAAATTTAATGTGATAAGTGGTTTTAAACACATCTGGAATGATTAAAGCCTATAAAATTTCAAGAATATATTTAGAGTAATCTAGTAAGCCGATTTATGTTTTTCTTATTACTGATTATAAATTATGGATTTATGTTTTTAGTATATCATTATGAAATTATTTATTGGAAAATCGGATCATCAACTCTGGCGACTGTATTTTTCTGTCGGATAATAATCGGGCAAATCTTATTATCTGTTGATACTTTTGTTATAAGTGATATTCATTTTTATGTTGATAATTATTTAAGTTAATTATGTTGAGACGTCTGGTGAATTTTTCCTTAAGATATTAAAAGTAGATAATTTTTTTACACTACAGACAATTTTTTGAGAACTGGTTTAAATATTATGACAAAAAAAAACTTTTATGAAGATTGTATTTTAGATATTAATGTACTTTTTTTTTTTTTTGAGCTTGAAATGGTTTATAAAATTTGAAAGAGCTAAAAATTTTTTTTGAAGAATTTCTGTAAAAATTAAAATGAACAAAAAAAGATTACAAAACACGAAAGATTAAATATTTATACGAAAAAAAAAAGTATGGAAATAACTTTCCTTGTGCAGCAGTTACTGTGTGCATCGAGAGTCAAGATATACGTGTGTACACACATTAAACATTACGAGTTTAAATGATTGCTTGGAAGTAAAATAATTATTTCCTTAAATGATAATAACCTATTACATTAATGGAAAAATTATTGGATAGAGAATTAAAATTTATTGTCAGCTGCTGATAAAATTGTGTCGGGGATTATAAAGTGAAATTTGTACTTTTGTTTTTCTATAATATAACTTTGGCGATACAAAGAAAAAAACATATTGTTACAATGTAAAGTGATAATCTAACGTCGAGAGTAATTAAAAAATTATTTTTAGGAAAAAAAAGAAATAATTAAGTGGAAAAAGGATTACTGATAAGCATTATCGAGTAATTACTGGTAATTTTCATTGTCAAGCGCACATATTTTATTATCGTACGGATAATTGACCGGCTAGCCTTGATATTGTATGAAAAAAATTGTTTTTTCTTTAAAATTCTACCAAATAACAAAAAAAAAAAACTATTGTAGAACATTAAATATCTTCAATAATTAATATTGCTAATAAATAATTTTCAATGTCAAAAGATAAGAAAAACCAAAAGAAAAATGTATTTAAAACTCTTCTGCGGTTCTTAGTATTTACGATCGATTATCGCATGCATGAATACATAAACATTAATATTTTATTACAAAACAAATTGAATAAACGGATAATAAATAACACGGATTTAAAGAAAATAAATTTAATAATTATCATTTATTGATAATAAAACAAATAAAAACTAAATTAATGTACAGTTTATTTACTAAATCAAAATTTATCGGGTAATTTAAAAAGTTGTTAGGTGCGATAAATAATTTTAAACCACTGCATTAACATTCAATGACAGTCATCTTACCTTTACACTAATTGGGTACTATTATTATTTAAAAAAAAAGTAATTATATGTAATAGTATGAAAATAGTAAAATAATATTTATGCAACGTGCTATTTCAGCGACACGGTCACTAGTTTTTACGACAATTATCTGTTTATTTCAGCCAATGTAATTAATTTATTTTATTAATTACTCATGTAAAATACTACTGGATTGTATTATGATTATGAATTTCGATTAATTAAAGAAGATAAATATTGTTAACAACTTTCAAATCTAGAGTAGTATGATGACCTAAAAATAAATTTGATATGAAAAGTACAAATGGCAAAAGTCAATAGGCATAACTTTCACTTACGATAAACACCTGATGATTCTCAATATACATTACTATTATTATTATTATCATCTATAATCATACTTTTGTAAGAATTGCTTATTTACTTTTCAAACAAAAATTAAATTAAAATAATAAAAATAAACTAATCGTGTGCAAAAGATTAGATACTAATTTTAATCAAATCATAGATTATAGAGTATATATTTGACTTATATTATTATCATCTTCAAAATTATTTTACATTGTTAATTATTTGATATTAAAAAAAATTAATCAACAAAAAATTGGATACTTGTAGCAATAAATTACCTAAAAATTTATAATAAAAAATAAATTTACCTACTGTTAGACAATAAATCATTGATAAATACAAATATTTATCCAATAAATACCTTATGTCGACTTCTGGAATATCTGCCGTCATGATGAATAATTTATAATTCAAAATTTCACACTTAAACTTTAAAATAAACTATTTTGTAAAAAGTTTATACAAATTTCTAAATAATTAAAAATAATTCATTATTAAATTTTACATTTTGAGTCAGCTATTATACAAGAATTATAATTAAAAGACTAAAAAACTTAAAACATTGAAATTAAAAAAAAAAAAATGAACCGAACTTAAACTTGTTATTAACAAGTTGGCTGCAAAATAACTGATAAATAAAAGTGTCGTACACCTAAATGCACCGAACATTTGTATACTTTCATAATTCTCCCTCCATGATATTTCTTACCGCAAAAATCCCACTTCTATCCCACTCACCTACGACATAATAATAACATACGTTATACGCTTAGTTCATTTTATATGATTACTCTCATTCATAACTTATACAGTGCTTTATTGCACCTTTTCTTCGTGTCAATACACTCTTGATATTTATTTTATTACACGTCTGCTCTTAATCCCTTTAAACTGGTTAACTTTCCTCGCAATCTTGGATCTTAGATTATTTATATTTTTATTTTTTTCTTGAATTTATTTATTTGTTTACTCAGCATTTAAACAAAAGTGTTTTTAAGGTAATTAAGGTTTAACGATTTCTCAAAGATATAATTCAATTAAATTGTATTGCAATTTTTGAAGGACTCTGAGGTCATTTAAAATATTGTTACTTTTACAGGAAATATTATTGTTAATTTAGTAAATTATTATACAATTATTTTATTAAGGAAGTTATCTTCCTGACATAACGAGGCACTTAAAAAATTATCTAATAAATTTACAGTTTTATTAATAAATTTAAATTTTAAACAATATAATTTGTTAATTACATAGTATAATTTTAATACATATAATAATCTTAATTGTTAGAATTACTGTTTATTTTTAGATGATTCAAAAGGAAAACCCGAAATATCAAATGGTTCAAGAATGAATAACGGTGAAGAATTAATAACATGGATTATTTGATAATCAGAACATTCACCGACGTATTCATGATTACAGTGATCAGTTATTCCGATAAAATAGTGGTGTTTGCATTTAACTTGATATAAATTACATCCGTAGGAACATTGTTCCTTATAAACATACTGATAATTAAATGTGTATGGAGAATATAGAAACGTTCGAACCAATTGTTTAATAGGCCAAATTTGATAAGTTTTTAAGTTATTACAATCTCCTACCAATGAATATGTCCAGAAACTTTGGGGATTGAGATAATTGTTATGATTAATTTCGTACCAGTTACAATATTCCGGTGTTTGGTGTTTCAGAACAAACCTACTGGTGTGAAAGATGGGAGTATCTATCATTTTTTTGGGTGTTCAAGTAGTAGTTATACCATCTGAACTCAATTCCTTTGATGTTATTAAAACAAAATAGTATATTACACTACAAGGGCAGAAAGTTTGAGATTCCTGCACTGCGCGCCATATGCCCGAGGCGAAGCCGAGGGCATCATGGCACGCAGTTCAGGGCTCTCAAATTTCTGCCCATGTAGTGTATACTAGTTTTCTTACTATGCGGTCGAAAGTACGTTAAAAATTGCGTTGAAAAAAATTGATGCCTGCCCCCGACATTTGCGGCACGAGCGAAGCGAGTGCTGCTGGTCGGGGGGGGCATAATTAAAATTATTTCGAAGAGTTTCATTATTTTGCACCAAGAAAAAAAATTCTCGATTTGAGTAAAATTAAAAACGATAAAATTTTTCAAAATGATGTAATTTCTCTCTTAAATTAAATCATTTATTTACTTTTTTTTAATGAGCGATTTATTGATTAACAAAAGGCTCAAGCAAAAAAAATTATTACATATTTGTTGAATAAATACTAAAATATTCTCATGAATTTAAAATTAATTCAAATTCAACTAAATATTAGCTCATAATATAAGCGCTCTATTACGTTAGCTGAAATTTTGTAAACAATGACGTCAAATAGAAGAAAAAATTCAAACTAATAATAATGTGATCATTTGTAAATTATTTTAATTATTGAATGAATCAATACATAATAATGATTAATGACCAACGTAATAAAGTAACAATATTACGTGATAGAATTCTCCTCCTGATAACCGATAACAACAGAATGACCTTAGTGAACTATCTCGATGACGCGAGTACCATCGCAGAGTTAAATTATATCAATAAAAAATAATATTATTATTTGAAATAAAATTTCAATGTTGCAAATAATAGTACGTCCGACTTAATTGTTCTCGATTAAAAAAATATTCCATCAAGTCCGAGATCAATTTTTCGCAATCGATTGCGTCGATAGATAATTAATGCTAATCAATTATTAAATAATCAATGTCACGTTTTCGTCATTCAGGTCGATTGTTTTTTTTATTTTTTTTTTTTTTTATTTTTTTGTCAATTACAATTAATTCTATCTTACAGGTTTTTGTTCTTGCACTTGTACTGGCTTATATTATAACGTGATTTTTTAAACAGTACTTACACAGAGATAAACAATCTTACAATAAGTGAAGTTATCTACGAAGAATAGAGTCATGAAAGATGTCGAGGTCGCGCGTTATGTTTACTATGATGGTAATGATTTCCGTATAAGCGACAGCGAAGAAAAAACAACAATAACTTACATAGTGTAACCGTGACTAATCATTTGTTTATGATTATCATATTTTTTTATCTGGTATGAACTCTTAGTATTACTTCGCGGAGTTTTACTATCATAAGAAATTTAAACTCTCGGTTGGATGTAATTAAGTACAGTCATTTTCGGTTTGTTAATGAAGAGATAAGAAGATAATAATATTAGTATTATAATTAATGTATTTGAATTTTTGAGTACATTGGTTAATTTTATCCTTGACCACTGACCGTAACTAAATGGCCTAGCTGATCCGGAAAGAATTCCAATTTATTCATGTGCGATCGTGTAATGTGCATGTAGGTATCGACAATTTATTATTTAAAGGTTTAATGAAAACGAGGTAATGAGTGATGGTAACTCCTTTTTTAAATTGTAATGGTAATAAAGAATGAGCGGTAATCGATTTACTAGCTCTGATAAGTGAGAATAGTTATTGAAGAGAGTTTTGTTATCAAAGTTTAGATGGCAGTATGTACTCGAAATTTAACTGTGAAATAATTGACGAGTTTTGTTCTTCAATATACTCAAAAGCATATGCAGAAAAAAAATTTTAGCAAAAATTACAATTGTCACATCGTAATTCTGAACTAAAATTTCAATATGGTTACTTTGAAAATTTTATATTTTTAAATTTACGATGCTACATCGTAAAAATGTGTATAAAAGTAGTCAATATACGAATTTTTACAATATAATCTCGTAAATTTTATAATTTAAAATTTTGAAAGTGAAGATATTAAAAGTCTGATCCTGGATTACGATGTAATAATTGTAATTTTTTCCACCATTTTTTCCCGTGTATTCAGGAAAAATTTCAAATTTTTGGTGATTTGTTTTTTTATATGATCATGAGCATAAAAAGAAAAATTTCAAATTTTTAGCAATTTATTCCTTAATAGCCGGTCCCCGCTTTTCCATGCGTCGCACTAACTGCGAGAAACTGCACTACTTTTTTTTGCACTCGTGATTATAAAGTTATTGTAGTTTTATGTTTTTCGTTCAAACAAATGAGAATTTCGAAAAAAAACGCTCTGCTACGAAATAGATAATTAAAAAATCTATTATGTTGCAGAGAATTTTTTTTTCAAAATTATACTTTGTTTAGGAGAAAAATATAAAAAAATGAAAGTACGCAGTAAATCTCAAGTTTTTTTTTCAGCGGAGTGATTTCGAGTTGAATTTTAATTTTAATCCAAAAAACATCTGAGTACAGTGTTTCTTAACTACAATAAATTTTTATTTAGCTGAAACAAGTTTTACATGCAAAATTACTAACAAATACCCAGAAAAATTTATCTGACGTTCAAGTTTATAAATATTAATTATATTTTTCTAAAAAATTTGACTTAAGAGCAAGGAACCAAATTTTTAAAAACGTTTAATTAAATAAAATTAATTACTTTAGTGATGCTGAAACTAACTGAGATATGAAAATTTTTAGGATTTCTTAACATATAAATTATGTTAAAAAGAATTTATCGAAAAATGCTACCGTTTGAAGAAATAAAAAAAAATATTGATGGAAGTTTTTTTAAATATTAAAATTTGTTCGTTGCATCAGACTAAAAAAAAAAAAAAATTCTATTAATTTTCAAAATCTCTGAATACGCGATTATAAGCTTTTGTGATTTTTGAACGTATAAAAACTATTCTCTTAATTTTATTTGCTCCTGAGCATATTAAGAAAAAATTTTCCTAGAAATGAGTAATTGATCAAAAATATTTTCACGTTAACGTTCGTCACAATTTTATAGTTTACTTTTGCTGTCAGTTAAATTGACATAGTGTACGTATTATTGAATAAAAACAAAATTTTTATTTTCTAACTTTTACAAAAAATTTATTTTTCATCTAATAAAAATTTTTCCAAAGAAACATTACTCTAGTAATACAGAGTAAATTGAATTTACTCTGAAATCAAGTTGCCGACGTGCAGATGATCATGATTTGAAGAAGCATCTGTTTCGGAGGTAAAATTACCTCCACTTGTTACAACAAATGCATCTGAATTCAATGTTAGATTCACCGTTAACTCAATTTCGTTTTCGTAACTCTTCATTTCTGCGAATAAAATTTTTCCTCAGTAGAGCTGGTGAGTGAAAATAAAATTTTAGCACCAAAAAAATTTACGATTGTGACAAAACCGTGGAATAAAAGTAAAAATGATGAACTTGAAAGTATTAATTAATTTAATCATTAGCGCAGTGAGTTTAATGGTATGAGGGTGACGTCGCGCTCTCAAGTCTTGGAGTATGCGTGAGTGCTGTGGAGTAGAGCACACTACTGTTTTGAGCAGGGTACAAGGTGAGGGTGAGGGTAAGGGTTGAGAGGAGAATGTAATTTAATTAT